TGTCTGGGGAGCCTTACACTGGACTGAGAGAACCTTAAACGGGTCACGGGTTCCATTTTTTGCACAAAAGGAATGAAATGTCAACATGAATGCCAATGAATGAATGTAGTATCCCCGTGGGCCTAAGACGCTGAATGCGGGTGGATCTAGGATATATGAACATCAATGAAAGTGTTTTTCTTTTGTGGACGTAAGGCGAAGTCCCACAATTTATTGGGTGCTGTGGACGTAAACGAATGACATTGCAAACAGGAAGCTGCTGCCACAGAGGCACTTCCCGAAACCCGAAACCCTAAACCAATACCCTACATGGATGTCCCCAGGGGTGCGTAAAGGTATGGGGCGGAGACGCCAAGACGTACGCCCTAAACCCTCAACCCTCAGCCCAAAACCCTAAACCCTAAACCCTACACCCTTTAGAGACAAGTCTTGGCGTTGCTGAGGCAGACGCCTCCGCAACCTGCACAAGCACCGCAGCCTGCCCAGCTGCTCGAAAGCCCTGAGTAGCTCTGTTTTTTGTTGCAAAGTCGTTTGAGGTTTAGGGTTTAGGGTTTAGGATTTAGGGTTGGGATGTTCCCCCTTGTACCTAACAGTCCTTGATAGGGATTGTAATGGGGGGTACTAGAATCCCTATTGAGGACTACTAGTGTGAGGGGGAACATGCCAATGTTGGGCTATTAAGGGGGTTTTCGGGCACATTCCTTCAAGCCCCAAACCTCCAACCCCGAAACCCACAAGCCTCAGCCCTAAACTCTCGACTTTCTCCTAGACAGTTCAGGCCCTAAGATTACACGAATAGATTAGCATACCAAAATACCAATATACCAATATACTTCCACCCCAAACCCTAAACCCTCTCTTACTATGTATATTTAAACCCTAGGCCGTGCTTTGGGACATTTTTAATTTATGCCCAAAATCCCTATTATTAAATTATTAATACAGTTACAATTGCCAGCCTTGATTTTTCGGAACTGAAAAAAGTGTCTGCGCAACTTGTTTCCTATGGTCTGTCTTTCTTAATATTCACTAGTTCAGCAGCAATAGCTCCAATATGAGGTCATGATAATTTCAACAAATGACTGACTCAAACTTAAAATCAATGACAGAGAATAATCATAAAAACGCATAAAATACATATCTAATCACAATGACTGATTGAAGAGTCATTCCGCGACTTTGATCAGCGGCTCAGCTGCTTTGTTTATCCACAGCGGCCGCAGTGTGTTGGATCAGCGGCTCAGCCGCTGCGGATGAGCGGCTTGGTTGTTTTCAGCGGCTCGGCCGCTGTTTCTGAGCATGTCTCAGCAGCTCAGCCGTTTGCTTGGTCAGCGGCTAAGACGCTTGCTTTATCAGCGGCTCAGCCGCTGGCTTTATCAGCGGCTCAGCCGCTTGCTTTATCAGCGGCTCAGCCGCCGATAAATGCATCAGCGGCGCGGCCGCTTTTCTCACCAGCTCAGGCAATTGTCAGGCAGCTTTCTTTTGGGTCAGAGGTTTTTGTGTTGGATCAGCGGCCCAGCAGCTTCTGTCAGCGGCTCAGCCGCTGTGTATCAGAGGCTCAGCCGCTTCCTAGTCCTTAGTGGATCAGCGGCATCAGCGGTTCAGCCGCTTACTTTCAGGGCTCAGCCGCTTCATATTCAATTCAGCGGCCCAGCCGCTTATTACGCTTATTATATACTTTATTAATAAACTTACTATAATGATAATAATCAGCGGCTCAGCCGCTTATGTGCTGCATCAGAGCTCAGCAATGCGGAGCCCCTTTGTCAGCGGCGTTGCCGCTTTTTGCTGGATCACTGGAGTAGTCTTGTTAATAGACGGCTCGAGGAGCAGTTGCTGGGCCGCTTTCATATTATAATTGGTTCAAAGGCTCAGCTGCTTGTGTCATGGAACGTTGACATTGAATTCCTGCAGAGTCACGATTGGGCAATCTTGTCAAGATGTTTAAGTTGTTGACGAAGCACCCGTCCACCGCAGCCACTTTAAGGCTCCGGCAAAAGATCTGGGTGCATCAAGCATTCGCAATGTGGCAAAGCTGTCAGAGTCATTATTTTACAGCCAGGGATTCCATGCATACGCTGGCACTAATCGATCTGTAGTTGGCACGAGGGTCGCAATCAATGGAACGCGCTCGCTCACGATCGCCGACAATCGCCGACAGGGCCGGCGCCAGGGTGGCGGTGGGCCTGGCGTTCAACAGAGGACGGCGTGTGGTGGTGGGAGTGGTTTTATGCATCGCGCTCGTGGCTGGCGCAAAAGATGGTGGAACAAAGCTCCAAAGATCAGCTTCCGCAAGCCTCGCCCATTGCAGCCGCCGACGGGGCCAATGCCAAGTCGCCACGCAAGCGAAAGCGCGACGCGTCCCCCTGAGCAGAAGGACTAGAGGAGCCAAATTAGATGCAAATTTAGGGCTGCAGGGAGTTTTGCATCCATGTAACCATGGCTGCCGTCCCTTGCGCAGTGCCCTGGATCAGAGTCAGGCCGCCGCCTGGATGATGCCGACAGTGGCAAAACGGTGTGTAATTTGTACGACAGTTTCCATGGGAATGATGGTAAGACTCAGCATTTGAAAATACGTTGATGTTCCAGCAGCCCACGCAGGACAGTCTGAATCCATACTGCTTGGATGTAATTGTAATACTAAAAAAAAACAGTATACAAATACTCATACTTCAGTATCAAATTCATTGTACGAAGGTCAACCGCTGGCTGTCGACCAGTGGCGATGAAATTTAACATGTGCTGGCGTGGGTGGGTGGGTGGGCGTGGTCGCGCGTCTCTGTGTCTGTGGGTCGGTGTGTCTGTTGTCTGTGTGTCTATGTGTCTGACTGTCTGTCTGCGTGTGCGGCTGTGTGTCTGTGTGTGTCAGTGAGTGTGTGCGTGTGTGACCTACAGGTTTTTTTTGTTGGTGCCCGCATGTCGGACATGACAACATGATTGAACGCCGCTGCCATTGTTCAGCAGGCTCGACGACTGTGTGCAAGTCACTTGTCATTGTGTCATAATAGTACAGTCTGTTAGACAGTAGCCTCTAAGGAAATGTCAATGACCATTTTCAGATACTGTCTGCTGCGAGTGGCTGAAGGGGTTTACAACTGTAACTGTAAAGTGCAATGTAGGAGACTGACAGTGTAGACTTCACAGTCAGAGCCTAATTTTGATTTTGGCGCCATGGCATCTCGCCAGCGAGCGCTCTACTGCGAGTGCCCGCGCAGTGGCGACTGCGGGGACCGCAGGTGGTTCGGGCCGTACAACAGCGTCGCGGATCTCAGGGCCGCCATGACCCAGCACTTGTGCGCGAAGCACAGCGAGATCCCGGACCGGGACGCCTATCAGGTGTCCAGAAGCACCCGGATCTACCAGTGGGGTGAAGGAGATGATGGTAATGGTGTGGAGATTTTGAACTCCACGAAAAAGGCCATCGCCCCAGCGCAGCGTGAGGATGAAGACGAACATGGCGAGGATGATCGGCCCAGACGTGCACGCCGCCGTCGCGTTGATCCAGGTCCAGCTCCTTCTCCGGCTCCTGAAGGCGTCTCGGCCAAAAGCGCGCCGCCAGCGCCGTCAGCGCCGTCAGCGCCGTCAGCGCCGCCAGCGCCGTCAGCGCCGTCAGCGCCGTCCGCACCGCGGCCAGCGAAAGCGGCGCCTGCAACAGGCAAAGCCCCGCCTGCAGCCCCGCCTGCAGCGCCGCCGCCGCCGCCCATGGAGAATGACAACACGGTGCCGCCCAGCCCTAACCCGTTGCCAGGCGGCGTGGCAGCTGGCGCAGTGCCAGGCGTGGGCATGGCCACGGGGCCAGCCGGATCCGGCGCAGCGCCGGCGGCCGCAGCCATCGCAGCAGCACTGGCGGCAAACCACGCTGCGGCCCAGCTGGCCGCAATGCCCCTGCTCCCGCCGGGCATGCCTGGGCCTGGCATGACAATGATGGCGCCGCCACTCTTGCTGCCAAGGGCCCCGGTCTCGACGCCACGCACCACAGCGTCGTTCGGGTCTCGATTGGGGTCGCTGCTGGCGAAGAGTGAGAAGAGCCTGCTGGTGGCGGCTCGGATGCTGCGACAGGCGGCTCAAATGTTTGAGGATGAAGCCCACCAGATCGCAGACCTGGCCAGAGAGGCAAACACCGTCTTGGACGTGATGGTCGACGATCCAGCTGCAGTGGCAGGTGTTGGGCCCGGCGGTGGCTTGGGCAGCGGAGCCAGCAGCAGCAACGTTGGCGGCGACGGATCTGGTGCCGGCGGAGCCAGCGGCGGAGCCTGCAGGGGCGCCTGAGCAAGGCAGTTGCTGCAGGTAGAAGCGAGGGCGGCACTCACAATTTCCATGATCATGATATTTTAACAGTGAGCACGCACTTACTAATTTAATAATAATCTCATAATAAATAATAAAATAATATTAATAATATGAATAATATTAATAATTTAATAAATAATAATAATCAACATGCAATCCTTCATATCTCCTCGCAGCTTCTGCTTTTGCCGGAGCCGTATAGTAGAAGAATGGCCAGGCCAGCCGTTCCGGGGTGTAAACACATGGCTGTTGCAGTTTCAGATTCCGTACTGACAGTATTTGAAAGCAACGTAGTAATATATAGTCTTAGCGACAACGACTCCAACCGAACACGTCTGGCCTGAGCCTCGTATACTAGTATAAAGTGGCAGCCACGGAACAGCTCCTGGTGCTGGTGCTGGCTGACGCTCGGCAAAATGCCTGACGTTCTTCCTGGGAGGGGGTTGCCAGGGCACCAGTTGTTTCTGACTCTGAAGACCGCCGTTCACTGTCGTGTCACGCGGCATCTTGTTCTGTAACGTGTTTTCCGCGGCAGCGCTCACGTTCGGCTAGTTCTAGCAGGGCTCGAATATTGTTGAACTTTACCTATTTAGTTATAGAGATTTATAGAGGTAGGTGCGTAGCATGGCTGTAACCATTTATCCTAAGCCGTCGACAGAAGGGTATTTCAACAGCCTATCAGTTATTATTAGCGTGAATCCACTGCCGCCATGCCGTCGCTTCTGGAGGCTGCCTACGCGCACAGTGACCGTGTCTCTCCAGTGAAGCGGCGCTTCGAGGAGGCTTTTAGCGAGCCCTCCAGCTCTTCCACGCCTTCCAAGCAGCTTCCAGGCACACGAGCAGAAGTTCAGCCAACTGGTTCTGGCAAAAAGGGCCGTGCTCCTCGCAATCGGCCGGGGCCTGTCAGCAAGAAGGGGACTGGTGCCGAGAAACGTCGTCGTGGACGGCCAGCTTTGTCTGCGGGTGTCACAGAGCAGCCGCCAGACGTGGCAGGAGCCTGGCCGTCGTGCACCCACGCATTTCAGAAGACCTGTCCACGCTGCGTGTTCCGAGCAGGCGTGGCCAAGTGGACAAAGGCCCACGGCGTGTTTCAGCGGCCGTGCAAGTCCGGTGCCAGCCTCGTCACGCCCTGGCTGCGCGAACGCCCCCGGTGTCTGGGCGGGGCTTGGGGAATAGGGTGCGCGGCATGTGCCCACTTGCTTCAGCGGGCGTCTGAGGCAGGGCCTGGCATTCGGCACCAGCGTCGCCGCTGGTCGACGAAATGGGCCCGCTTCGAAGTGCGGTCGCTCAGCATGATGCAGAGCAGTAGTGTGGAGCTTCACAGCCACACGCAGATCCACATGCTGGCCGTCAAGTGCATGAACCTGCCGGACGTGCCCTTATGCAAGCTTGTTGCTCCTGCTCCAGACGACGACCGGCTGTTGGCCGGGGCCGTGCCGCAACTACAGGATTGGCTTAAGGCGTGGCGGACTGCTCGGTCGCCCGAGGCATTGCTGAAATCCGAGATGCGCTCTCGGACTGACAGCTTTGCCGACGTGAAGCGAGGCAAGCCCAAAGAGGTGCAGCGTCACGCCACCCGCCAGATGATCCAGGTCATGGCTGAGGTGCTGAGGGAAGCAAAGCGTGATATGCTCCGGCACGCAGACCACACTAGCGTGGCTGTAGACGATATGGCTCCGTTCCGCATCTTGCGTTTTCGCTGCTGTTCCCAACGGCCGGCAGAAACAACTGGCAGCACCCTGGCGCCATGGATGTCTCGGAATGGGATTCTGGCCGTCCTTCGCAATGGTGGCTGCACATTGTCTCTGGAGATGCTGGATCAGGACTACAGCGAAAGGATTGCGGACTCCATGCTGACGGCTGTCCGGCAGATGGCAACTAAGCTTGGCGACCAGCAAGCGGATGCGGATGTGGTCAACCGTTTTTGCCAGACACTGTCCAGCTACAGCTCCGACGGAGGGCGGCCTATGAGAAAGTGTGGCCGCATCCTGCAACAACGTTTCCCCAGACTTTGTCTCTGTCTACTGGACAAAGCTCACACCATCCGCCGTGCTGCCTTGCCGATGACGATGGAAGACCGCTTCCGGCAGCGGTGGCTCACCACCTTTGAGAAGAGGCACGCTCTCATCCCGGACTTGTGCAACAGTGAGGAGTGGAAGTTGAGGCTCCGAATCTTGCAAGCCGAAGTCGTCAAGGCCACTGGCAGCATGACCGGCTCAGGGGCCGTGGCTGGCTGCCCTAACCTGGCAAAGGCAGTGGCAACCATGGGTTTCTCCAAACAACGCTTCGATTCGTATGCCACTCCAGCAGCCAAGTTCGTGGCCCTCCTCCTTCCGATAGCTCTCTTATTGGCGGCCCAGGCGATGGACGACAGGCTGGACCCGTTGGTGAGGCACAGATCTCACCAGCAGCTGCAGGCTCTGACTGGGTCCAATATCCTGGTGGCTGGATTGGCTGCAGACCTGCACACAGAGGTGCTGCGGTTCACTCGCCTGCACGACGTGCACGACCACGACATTTCCTTCACACTGCGGGAGAAAGCTGAGTTCCTGACACGGCTGAGGCGCCTTTTTGGCGAAGGTCGTGTACTGATGGAGATGGACGACGTGGAAGGTGCGGAGGAGTCGGAGACACTGACTCACCTTGCTCTCCGAACGGCCATGTCGGCAGCGCCGATCGTGTACGGGGATAGGATCCACACCCTGTGGTCCAGAGTGGACTCTTCAGAGTCCAAGCAAATAATGGCCTCCCTGAACACAGTCGTTGACACAATTGAGGCCAGGGTGCAGACAGACATGGCAGACCTGCAGCTGCAAACGGCATTTGCATGCTTCGACCTCCGAGTCTGGTGGAATGCCAAGGCAGCCCTGGAGAACGACAACGACGCCGATGGCTGGCGCAATTTGGAGACGAAGATGAGGCGTCGAAGCGCAGACATCTGCCGAGCTCTGGGCCGTGATGAGAGGAAAGGCTGGCAGGAATTGTTCAGCACGGTTACACGTCTCTTGGCCCATGGTGCTGTTCCGGAGGCTGAGAACCGGCAAGCTTGGGGCCGCGTTGTGGGCCGTGGCCCATCGCTGGAGATGGAGTACGAGGTTCTTCCCGACATGGTGGCCTTCTATCTCAGCATTCAAGATGGCGAGTGCAGCGTGGAGCGCGACTTCAGTCAGTTGCGAAGGCATCAGTCCAACGCTAACGGCGACTTCCTGTCCGCGATCTTGGAAGTGCAGCTGGACGGGCCACCTACCGAAGCCGACATGGTGAAGCGCTTGGAACTGCACGACGAGAGAGTCACTGAACGGATGGAAAACACCTTCCAGATCGAAGGTTGTGCTCTGGCCATGACGCCGTTTGTGCGTCGTTGCTGCCAATTGTGGCTGCAACACTTCGGGCGGCGCTTCCGATGCTACAAGACCAGAACCGACAAGGGCGCCACGCGTGCCAAAAAGCCAGTCGGTACGTTCGCGTCGGTGCTTCGTGCCCAGCGACGAGCCTCGGACAGGCTGAGCCAAGAGGCCGCAGTTGATCCAGGCGCTGCGTCTGCCATTCCTGGCCAAAGCGTTGCTGCACTTGTGCGACGCCGTTGGAAGCTCCGTAGCAGTCCGTGCTGGAACCCGGCTTTGGAGAAGTTCCAGAAGCTGACGGAGAGCAAAGCGCAGGAGAGAGACGCGGAGCGGAACCGGGCGCGGCTGCACATGCCCGCCCCAAAGGTCAAGCTGCGGCCCGGCAAGGTGTATCCAAAGGGGCCCGCGCCTGCGCTTCGCAGAGATACTTTGGTCGCAGACCTCACCTGCGATGCGTCGGCCGCTTTGGCGACAAGTGAGTGCGCCTACAAACGTTGTCAGGCAGGCATTTGCTGGGATGACTTCATCCGATGCCGAATCATGGTGGTGGACGATGCGGTCAGTTTGGAGCAGATGCAGACCTCGTCACTGGTTGACAGCCAGTGGTTCCATACTGTTTCCTGCAATTGCATACTGTTCTGTTCTAGTATTGACAAGTTGATATAACAGCTAACAGTAACGATTGAGGTTTAGGTGGTTCTTCTGCGAGGTCTGAGAAGCTTCATTGGTATCTGGGCATTGTCGCCTTGGGCAAGGACTTGATCAGTGTTGCTCATTGGCGGAAAGCAGATCGAATGAAGCGGCTGCGCGAGTATGATGCTGCGCACCAGCTTGTTCCGGCGAAGATTCACCTCAGCGAGAATTTTCAGGACAGACACGGGGCTTGCTCCCGTTGGCTTCGCAAGATCACCGGCCTCAACCGGACGCAGTGGACTCTGCAGGACGCGGCAGACAATGCCGATTGGGTCCTGAATGACATGGCATCCTTGCGTTGCATGCTGGTGACTTGCCGTCGCATGCATCGCCGGGCGACATCGCTGACGCTTGACGGCGATGGCTGGAAGGTCGCGCCTGGTGGTCGGATTCCGAAGCTACCCCGTCGTGGGCGTGGCGCTGCTGAGCATGCCGATGAGTAGTGTAGCTGAACCTGATGTTGGGGCTATTTGCAGGAACATTGGTGTTGTGAATCAGAATCTTAAGTAAATCATGATTTCATTAAAAATCATACGAACAATTCCATGGATTCCGTCAGACCATGAACCCGCGGCATCCTTAACGCCTGCTCTTGCCCCAGTGTGTCTGTTTCTAAACTTGACCCCAAGCCGGGCGGTTGTTAGCTTCTCCAGCTGCTGCTGTGGTCGTGCCGCTGGCCAGCGCTTCTGCCGCTGTGCAGCGGCCGTACCGCTGCGCAGCGCGCTTTCCAGGGTCAAGTACGCAGCGATGCTGCTGCGAATTAGCGGCTGCGTAGCGGCGCTGCTGCTTGACAGCGATTGCGCCGCTTCTGAGCGGCGCAATCGCTTTTCAGCGACAGCGCCGCTTCTCAGCGGCAGTTCGCTTTCAGGGTTCTGTGCTTTAGGTGGCTCCGCAGACGCAGCTGGGGGGGGGGTTCTGCAGAATAATGCCCGCGGTTACGAGTCTGAATGCTTGTGTCATAATAGGACTGTTCAGTTAATTCCAGACATGCCTTGCACCAGCACGAAAAATCACCGAAATGTTCCTGCTGGTGTACTAGACTACGCCCAAGCCTGATGGCTGGGGGGGGGAAGGCTCGCCCAGGGGAGTGGGGAACTGCGAGCTTGACGAGGCAATCAGGGCCAGGAGAAAAAAAGCGCCGGAGAACAGCAGGATTGCGCGAGGCTCTGAGGGTATCGGTGCGGCAACTGTGACACTGCAATACCCCCCCCGATTTGCGTAAATCGGGGGGGGTATTGGATGTGGAGAATGCACTTGGAATACCAGCTAGATTGGGGGGTGAACTTGGCATGTTATCTCCAGGGGTGGTTGCACATGCAATACCCCCCCCGATTTGCGCAAATCGGGGGGGGTATTGGCCGGGACTTTTTTTTTAAACTTCGGACAGTCAGACCAGCCAAGCTGCTCAAACTGAGGGAGCCCAGGCCCATCGCCCGCAGCATGTCTGGTCCTGCTGCTGCTTCGCTGACGAGAGCACGGCAGAAAAGAAGGCCTGAGGACGACGCGCCAGTGGTGCCGGCCAAGAAAGCAAAGGAGTCGCCGGATGGGGCTGCAGCTCAGGATCCCGGCGCATCCGCGGCAGCATCAATTCCTCAGCCGGACCTGCCCCCTGCTCTCGGCGAAGAAGCACGCATGACAAATGCGGCGGACGTCTTCCAGAAGAAACAAATCTTCCAGTGGGCTGCTGGACGGGAATTTCGGTGAGCAAGGTTCCCTTCCGTTTTTGCTGCTGCTGCTGCTGCTGCTGCTGCTGCTGGTTGCTTTTTTGCTACGAATGAAGTGACCCTAAGGTCCTCCAGGAACTGCCCCCCGCGCTGGCACGCCTGAACCTGTGTGCGCCAGACACCAATTTGAAAACCTTGCCGCCGCTGGACATCTCGGCCGACAAGGACATGAAGAATCAAAAGGTCACGACCTTCAAAGAAGCGTGGAACCCTACACACGCGGAAATGTCGCTCAGGGCCAATGGAATGTACGAGGCAGGCGCAGCCCTGTATTGGGCTGACACCACCGGCGGCCGCACTGGCAATGTCATGGAAACCTACGTCATGGAGCCATCTTGGCACGAGGTGCAGTCGTTCATGAATGTGCACGTGCCTGAGAAGAGTGTCATGAAGAATGGTCGTTTGCTCTTTGCGCAGACATTGGCCTGCTATGGCGACTTGAGTCAGCTAGTCCCTGCTGCTGGGTTTCCCAGCAACGTCTTCATGCTGTCCGGCAAGATCTTTGTGTATGCCTGGTACCTGGCAATGTGCGAGGCGCTCATTGCAAAAAACAACAGCCGCATCACCCGGCTCCACGAAATGGCCTTGACCGTGACTTTCAGGGCGCACCTGGAAGCGGATATGAATTCCATGCTGCGATGGAGCCTGCACGCCTCCGAGCTGTTGCGGAAGGCTGAGCAGCAGGATTCCTTCCTCATGTTCGCTCGGAAGATATGCCAGCTCGTGGGATCAGAAGATGAGGCCGACAACAGCCTCGCGGCCTTGCAAGCGGACAACATCTGCTTCAATGGGCAAAAGATCAACAAAGCCTCCCTGAACGCTTGCAAGCTGCTGTGCGACAACCTGAACGAGAAAGGCGAAGAGTGCTTGCGCAACATCGACCGCATGTTCGGCCGGGATGTCTGGAACGGCGCCTACTTCAAGATGATGAGGCTGTGCCAACTGACCAAAACAGCCCAGCAGCTCTGGGCCAGGGACACGGTGCCAGACATGGTGACCTTTCTCTTGGAGACTTGCTATGTCCTGCTGAAGAGGGGTGATGCCAAGCCAACTTTCTTCACGAACTCTTGCGTGGATACCCGCGGCTCCGATCGTCCTGGGTGGATTGCTACCACCCTTACCAAGATGCATTTGCTTGGGCAGATGCTGGACTTCCTCAAGGCCGCGAACCAAGTTTGCGAGGGCTCTGTTGCGGAGCTGGTCAAGGATGTGGCAGCCATGGAAAAGATGCGCAGCCCTTTGTCCTGGGATGCGACCATGCCAGCTGTGCCGGAAGAGGAAGACGACGATGGAGAGCTGGAGGATTCCCAAGCAACAACGCTCGCCCAGGAGTCACTCCTCGTGGAAGGCCACGACCCCCTCGGCCAGCTGCAGGCCGATCTGTCCAAGGCTGGCAAGCTTTTCGTCGCGCTGGCCGACGATCTGTGGAAAGGCTCCTATGAGACCGAGTTGAAAGCCCTCTGCTCAACCAAGGACGTCTGTCAGGGAGCCATGGATGATGCGGAGGGCAAATGCAAGAAACTCGGCAAGGCCTTGAAAGACGCCATCTCTGTCGGGGCCCCAGATGAACGATGCCGCTTCAGGGTTGTGTCTTGTCGCCAAAAAGAGTTTCTCGTTCTGGGTTTGGAGGCTTCTCATGGTACTTTTTCCCCAGCAGTTGCAACAATGCAGTTGAGCACAGGCTCCGGAGCAGATACGAGTGCAAGCAAAATGCCACGTGTGAGTGAGGCCCTGCACCTGCTCTCGGCCAGCGGCCTCGACAGCAAAGTGGGGTGTGCGCCCATGTCCTTGCGTCAGCTGGTCAAGACGCTCAGCAACGAGAGCGCCGACTTAGATGTCGGCAAGGCGGAGCGGGACAAGCTGTGGCGCGAAGCGCAACAGGCTCGGAAAAAGAAAGCCCAGCTCGCCTTGTTGAAGAGCGCCAGCAACAAGGACAGCTGGCAGAGCCTCTACAGCAAGACTGCTGCTAAAACCTTCGATTCCGATGGCTTGCTGAACGAGAACCATCGCCTGTTCGTGGTTTGCCTGGATGCGTGGCTGGAGGAGAAGGATGCACACACCACCAAACGGCCGGTGGATGCATCTCTTCTGGAAGGCGTCTTCGGCTTTCTGAAGCAGCAGGTGATGGAGCACGACTTGCTGCTTATCTTGGATGGTTGCGAGGCAGCCAATCGCGACATCATCCAAAAAGAGATGGGTGGCAGGGTGCCGGGAGGCGGGGGGCTCTACAGCTTCACCGTGCTGCACGAAGAGTCCAAGCCTGCGGGAAAGCGCAGCCGCAAAGTGTTTTGCGGATCCATGTCCGTGGAGACAGCCTACCTCCGCATCAACGTGCCCCGTGTTCGCCTGGCGGTTTCTGACCGCACCGACCCGTACGTGCCTCCTGGCGCAGCGAAGACCACCCACAACATGAACCTTGTGGGGGTCCCAGGCGTCAGTGCGCGACAGCTTCCTCGCATCCTTCTCACGGACAAGCAAAAAATATTCCCGGACGCAGAGATGCCAAAGGACTGGAAGGCTTCTTCAGTCCCCCTCTTTTGGAATGAGACCAAAGGCACAAAGTTTTGGGAGACCGTGATCGAGATGCTGAACGTGGGCCAAATAGTGGACTGCACGCCGGGAAGTGGGTGCCTAGCAAAGCTGTGCCTCAGCTACGACGATGTCAGCTACCTCGCGATCCTCGAAGTGAGCATCACTTGACATGGCTGGCAAATTTGCTGGATCGGGAAACCGTCGTGCTCCAGGCGAAACAAGGATCTGCCATGTACAATCAAGACGTGGCGAGTTTGATCCGAGATCATTTCCGTGAGCTGGTTGAAGCGCACGAGACGCCCGCAGCGGAAGACGAGGACGAAGACGAGATAGACCTGGAAGAAGACGCGAGCAAGTGAGAATGCCTAGGCTCCAGCGGCCCGTGCCTGCGCAACCATGGCGTTCGTGCTTTTTGGGGCACGCATGCTGGACCTGGATTTTTGAAGACAGACGTCACGCGTGGCGGCCTTGAGTCACTCTGAATGGTACTTTTGTTTATTCACCAGTTCTACCATTCGTCATTCATCTGTATTCGTCATCATTGTCAATTAGTTCAACTCGGTGTTAAGTCAATGAAGCAGCAGTAAACGGTGTAGGCTTACTACGCGTGGCGTCTGTGCCACAGAAGCCGCAGGAGCGCTGGCAGTATGAACAAGTATGACTGAAATCATAGGCCAAGGGCATATGGCGATAGAGAAGTCGTTCAGTGAGGGCTCTGCAACACAGACTGTAACGTGCCGACACGGCGCCGACAGCTTCAAGCATAGAGCAAATTTTGAAAGGGTTTCACTTCTTTCGCCTGTTCACTCCAAATGGTCATGGATAAGACTGTGCTCTTGAAGCTCATTCAGCTCTCAGAGACGTAGCCGCAAGCAGCCCTGCTTTTGAGACACCGGGACCGTCATGGCTGGGCTGCTGCCAACCGAGCTGAAAAGAGCTATGGAAGCTTGGGGATCGACATTCCTGGCGTGCGCTTCGAAGGCCCGCCAGTCCTTCGTGGCAGAGTCGGGGCTCCAGGACCGTCCTCTAGAGTTTGCCAGTGGCCGCCTGCGCGTGGGGTCTGACTGCTCCGGAGTCGACGCTCCCATCTGGGGCTTGCGACAGATGAAGATGGCACACTGCCATGTGTGGAGCTGCGACATAGAGGAGTACTCGCGCCGCTGGATCAAGGCTTCCAACCAGCCTCGCCAGATGTTCGAGGACATGCTGAAGCGCAAGCACGCAGATTTGTTGCCCTGCAACATCTACTACTGCGGCTTCCCATGCAAGCCATATTCTGTCCTGCACAACAACTCGAAGTTTTTCAGGGACAAGAACGCGAAGCCCTTCCAGGCAAGTCAGTTGCTGGATGTTTTAAGACAATACATTTGAAGAATTTATTTTTAATTAATTTAATCTAAGGACTACTAGTGGCAAACGTTGCTTTATTACGATACGACGCTTCTTTCACTTTGACTCTGTTTGAGGCGCTGCTTGATACGATGGCTGCCAAGCAACCCGCCATCGGCATTTTTGAAAACGTGAAGGGCCTGCGCAGATGCTTTGACCAGGTGAAAGGGCGAATGCTCAAGGCGCTGCCCAACTAAACTGTCGTGGTCCTCGACCTTTGCCCAAGCCGGCTTGGCTTCCCGGTGCGTCGCGGCCGATACTACATGCTGGCACTGAGGCGGGACATGTTGCTTCGTGAGGATGCAGGGTGGATGGTCCAAATGGTGACAAAGGTGCTGGGCGCCCTGGAGACCCAGGATCGCCAGAAGTTGGAGAAATGGTTGCTGCCCGCCGACCATGCTCTCGTGCGACAGCACCAAGAGAACCTGCGAATGCGGGATGAGAGGCGTCGCAACAATGTCGTGGACCCATTGCCAAGCAAGGTCGGGCCGAAGTTCGCCTCTTTGAGCCTCACGAAGAAGCAGCAAGAAAGGCTGCAGGCAGTGCTTCGAGGCAAAGCCAACGGTCACTCGGACTTTGCGACCGACGTGAGCCAGTCGGAAGACCGAGCCCCGACTGGGTTCGAACTTTGTCCTTGCATTTGCCCTGGCTCAGTCATCGTTCTTTCTCGCCCCGGGCGACTTTTGACTCCGGAAGAGAAGCTTCTCATGCACGGCGTGCCGCTGCTGCCGGTTCAGGACATGGCGAATTTCTCGCAAGCTCAGATCGCCTCGCTGGGCGGCAACACTATGCACACCGCCGCCGTGGCCACTGCCACCCTTTGCGCGTTGGCCCTGGTGAAGGTGGCTGCGCTGGATTCGACGGGAGCAGCTTGTGAGATGCCCGCCGTGCGAATCCGACAGCGTTGGATCTACGGCAATGGCCCTTTGGCCCACAAGGGCGCGAAGAGTGCCAAGCAGACGCCTCGGAAACGAGCCATGAAAACAAGCGCGAAGCGAGCCATGAAGGAAAAGCAGAAGCGAGCCAAGATCGTCGAGCCCCGGCGAGCCATGAAGGCCAATGCCAACCTCAAGCGAGGGTGAGCTGGCCTCCTATGATAGTGAAGACTGGCAGCCGCCGAAGCCTGGGTGTAGTCAGCCAGTGGTGCTGATCGAGGGGATGGGGCGTGGGATGCTCCGTGACACAGGGGCGCTTCTTTGCCGATTGAAAATACAGGCGCCGACGTTGTGCTGCATGCTTCATTTTGTGAATCATAATAATAATAATTATTATTATTATATTAAAATTAATTAATTATTATTATTATTATTATTAAATTAATTACTATGTATGTCGACAGGACCTGACATTAACAGTAAGCTGCCGTTTGGAGATCGTGCTCAGTGTCTTGACGTAAATTATGTCTCCAGCAAGGGGTTCCTCAACATCTCAACAGATACAATGGCGTGAAACATGCTATGCACCTTTAAAGGTTACGTTAGTGCTAGATTGTATACTAAATTATATGGTTGTTCATACTGTTTATTTTCAGTATACGGTCACGATTCATTCAGTATTTTTCTTCTTACATTGCTTGCCACTGTAGGCGAGGTCATTCTCAAATTCGGTTCTGGCCCCTTGAATGTGACAAGTTCAGACGCTCCAGGTTCTGGATGGTTCCCGTAAAGCCAAGAAATGGTGGCTCATACTGCCTCATGGTACGCTGTTCCGAAGTTTTCGGCTCAGGTTCTGGCCTGCCTGCCCGTGTTTGTGAGCCATGGACAATCACAGTGACTTCCTGGCGCAGTACGATGTTGCCGACTTCAGCTTGCTGGTGGAACGTGAGATGAGCCACGGCAGCCAAGGGCAAGGACCAGTGCCTGGAGATGGTGAGGCAAGCCTTCCTGGCCCTGGAGAAGATGAGGAGCACGCGGCTGGACCTTCAAAAGATGGTCAACAAGCCAGCGAAGAAAAGGTCGGTGGGAACGAGGCCTCGCCAGAGGAGAGGCAGATGGGCCGTGACGGCAAATGGGAGTTCGAGTCCGATTCCATGTCGGAGTCGTCCTGCTCCGCAGAGTTCCTTGCAAAGAGGGACAAGGAGGCGGAGGAGAGCCAGCCGCGTGCCGGCGAGCCAAGCCACAGCAGCAGTGGCGTGGCGCCAGCTCCGGCGCAGCGGAGGGCGAAGGCGGCGCCGAAGAGGTTGCCTGGTCAAAGCACCAGGTCAGCCGCCAAATATAAACGGCCGCGAGGCGGAAAGAAGACCAAGACGGTCTGGTATGACCGAAACCGACCCCGGCCTCCGCGTGGATGGTAGAAAAAATGGTTCCACTGAAGCTACAGATGCCAGACCTGCAGACCTGAAGACACTATAGGTCCGAACATGTCACAATTCCCCGCCCATGCATGATATGCTGGCTCATTGAACTGTTACTGTTTGAGGTGCAAGTTGTTTGTCTGTGACTAGTCTAAGGTCTCTAATGCAGCATATCATAGACTCACTCTTGAAGTTTATTACTATTCGATTGAAACAGCCCTCGCGTCTCGTCCTCCGTGCTGACGCACGCCCGCAATGGCGAAAGTGCAGAGGCTGCAGTACGTAGAATTTGGATTGAGCCATCAGAGACACTCTACTTGCCTGCCAGGAAGCCGGCTTCGGCGAAAGCTAAGAAGGAAGTCAGACGTGCCAGAGCTGCAGTAAATCGCACGCGTGTGACCAGGTGACTTTCGCGATGTTTTGCCACGCCGCCATAAAAACTATAATCTGCGCTCTTTCCAGGCAGCACCATGCTTCGTACGGCACGGGCTGCTGGCGTGCTGCCCAAAGCCCGTACGGCCTACGCCTTGTTCCTGCAGCAGTGCCTGAAGGAGTACGGCTCGAAAGCGAAGAATATCAAGGAACATCAGACACGTATTTCCAGGGCGGGTGCGCGCTGGCGGAAACTGACGCCGCAGCAGAAAGAGAAATTCAATGAGCAGGCCGCAGAGGAGCTTCGACAACGAAAAGAAGCGCTTCAGGAGATGCAGGCCCCGAACATGGAGGAGGAGACGCCAACCCCGAAACCCCATGAGCCCTCTGTCAAGGTACCTGTCACAAATTTGGGCAAATGGATCGTGGAGGAGAGGCTGGGCCACGGAGGATACGGCAATGCGTTCGTTGTCAGGCATCAAACGACTGGCGTGAGGGCAGCGGCAAAACTTTGGAAGGAGGAGGGCGAGAGCTCCAGGGACGAGTTGAACATCTACCTGGCGTTGCGAGAGGCGCCGGATAATTTTTGCAAAGCCTTCTTCTTGCCGCTCCTGCAGCACTGCATCGACGCGCCCATGGAGTGGATGGTGATGCCCTGGCAACCTATGGGTTCCCTGCGAACGCAAATTAAGAGCAGTGGGCCCCTCAAACCAAAGGAAGTTAAAGCAGTCCTTTGCCAGGGAGCAGTTGGATTGAATTACCTCCACTGCTTGGGGTTCTTGCATCTCGACGTGAAGCCCGCCAACTTGCTGTGGTGCCCTGCGCGTCACCACATGCAGATTATCGACTTCTCCTTGTCCTGCGTGTTTCCCTTGAAACGCGCTCGTGAAGATCCGGTGGGTACGCCCAGCTACCGAGCCCCTGAAGCCTGGAACTTGCCAGTTCAAATTGGCCCCTTTACGGACTCTTTCGCCATGGGTTGCGTGGCTTTTGAGGCGGCTACCGGAGACATACTCTTTCACGGCAGCACCAAGGAGGAGATCAAATCTAAGATTATGAAGCTGTCCAAGCGAGGTGAGGTCACCGGAAAGTGGCCCTTGCTTGGGGAACTGCGGCTCACCGTCTGGAAACTGGTTGGTGAAGCCAAAGCGCGGCCTGACCTTAAGGGGATTGCCACTATCTGACTGGCATATGCGGCGAGAATTGTGGAAACAAGCCAGGGACACATATATAATAACGATCTAAGTTTAAATCAAAGTCAGTCATACTTCTGAATGACGAAAACATCTTTTTCGACATTTCAACAACTTGTAAACAAACATAGTTCGCCAAGTGACTTTCTAAGATGTATTCAACATGCATATATACATTATTCAACTGTTCAGCTTTAACTTGCACTTTACAAACTCGACTTTTAACATTTGCTCGTGTGTCGTCATGTTGGCGAAACTGTTAACATGTCATTTTTAACACCATGTTTAAGCTTAAAGTAACTTTGGGCGTTTACGTTTTTTGCTGGCTATCGATGATATGCAACCCTGAATAAAATCATAAAAATTTTTCAGCCAAGCCAAAGCACGGCCTAGAACCCTAATTATTTAAACCCTAATGGTCTTCGTCGGCAAACTGTTTTTTCTGGGCCCTAAACCCTGACCCCCTTCGTCGGCAAATGGTTTTTTTCCACCCGGGGGGGGGGGGGGGGGCCTAAACCCTGACCCCCTTCGTCGGCAAATGGTTTTTTCCACCCGGGGGGGGGCCCCTAAACCCTGACCCCCTTTCGGTCTTCGGCAAATGTTTTTTTTCCATTGGGGGGGGGGCCCTAAACCCTGACCCCGTTCGTCGGCAAATGGTTTTTTCCCACCCGGGGGGGCCCTAAACCCAGACCCCCTTCGTCGGCAAATGGTTTTTTTCCCCCCGGGGGGGGCCCTAAACCCTGACCCCCTTCATCGGCAAATGGTTTTTTTCCCCCCGGCAGGGGCCCTAAACCCTGACCCCCTTCGTCGGCAAATGGTTTTTTTCCACCCGGGGCGGGCCCTAAACCCTGACCCCGTTCGTCGGCAAATGGTTTTTTTTCCACCCCCGGGGGGGCCTAAACCCTGACCCCCTTCGTCGGCAAATGGTTTTTTTCCACCCGGGGGGGGCCCTAAACGGCTCTTAGGATTTGGGGCATAGGGTTTAGGGCTGTAGGGTTTGGGGCACAGGGTTTATTCCTGGGGTTCCCCCTTTTGAAGCTCCTAAACCGGTCTATTGTGGGCCTTAGATCTCGGGTTTTGGGCCAGCTGGACTTTGAGCTTTAAGCCCACCCGGAAAGTATTGAGTGAAATTTATATTTTCTCAATGTTATGGGTTTCTTGGGTGGGTGGTTTTTTTTCCAACGCTTGACAAGCTGCTTGACTAGTGAATGCTTGGACTTGAGATGCTAAACCCTAAACCCTAAACCCTAAACCCTAAACCCTAAACCCTAAACCCTAAACCCTAAACCCTAAACCCTAAACCCTAAACCCTAAACCCTCACTAAACTCCTAGAGAGCTCAGCCCCCACAGGCTTCCCCAGCCTGCGCAGCCTCCGGTGCCTTCGCCGCGGGAGGGTCCGCAGGTTGCGGGCTCAGGGCTGGTCACACTGGGTTTGGTTTAGGGTTTAGGGTTTAGGGTTTAGGGTTTAGGGTTTAGGGTTTAGGGTTTAGGGTTTAGGGTTTACGGTTTACGGTTTACGGTTTAGGTTTTAGGGTTTAGGGTTTAGGGATTAGGGTTTAGGGTTTAGGGATTAGGGTTTAGGGTTTGGGATTAGGGTTTAAGGGTTAGGGTTCAGAGAGTACTTGCAGTTGGAGTTTCGTCCTAAAGGTCGTGATGAACGGTTCGTATTCGGACCATAAGGCCCAAAAATGAGAGAGGTACCTTAAACCCCAAACCTCACACTCTACAGTATACTCCAGAACCTTGGAACATGGTTTAAGGAGGATTAGAGCTGGTATTCCCTGTAGTATACTTCTTCGGGTATGGGATAAGGATGTTCCAACTTTGATGAAGTTTACTGTACACTGTAAACCCTAACACTACCACCCCAAAACCCTACACCGTACGGGGTACCTCTCTCTAGGACCCAGAGGAGGGCCTTCTTCCCCTTTTTATTGTTTGGGTTCCCTCATAAGCCCCTTTAAACCAAAAAAGGGTGCCTCTCTTTTTGTGTCCTAAGTTAAGACCCAAAGAGATCTACAGCTGAAACATTTCCTGAGCCTGCTGGGCCCTGACATTGGAGTTCGAGTGGGGCTTAGGGAATGAGCGAGTGCAATCCGCTGTGACAGGACGTTTCCCAGATGGTGGCAGCGATACAGAAACACTCCAGGCTCGCAACCTCATACTTGAAGGTTCATGGTACTTTTTAACCAATTATTTAACCAATTATAACTATACTGAGAACCAAAATTAGAACTATAATAGGGCACTTAAGGGGCTTGTAAGTGGGTTTTAAGTGCAGTCATAACTGGTTAAGAAGCACCATTGAACCTTCAAGTTGGGTTAGTCCTCTGGTTCCAAGTACTCAGGCTCCCTTGTATACTAGTTGATGGTTTAGGGCTTGACTAGCTCTCCTATCACGGAATTAGGGGAGTTCGGTACCTTTTTGTTCCTTTTGCAATCCTGTAAGGAATATGTAGGGAACCACCCCTGCACTCTAAACCCGAAAAGCTCATCCCACAAGTGCAGACTTGCATGTGGTAGGCTCGATGCCAAACCCATGGCTACATATGCTTAAACTACCATGCCAGTACCCGGAGAGCATGTGGGCGGAGTTGTCTGTTAGTCTGGCATCGCCACTTTGCTGACCCGTACTTTTTATTCCTTCAAGCGCTAGTTTTAAAAATTGCAATCGTACTGGCTTTCGATTGATATTTTTTTTGTCTGGGTTCATCTTGGGGATCTCCTGGAACAGTAATATCAGTCCTTACGAAAATGTAAATATATTCATAAATTAGTATAGATCTCCAGAGAACCAGAATCGAACTTCTTTCAAATAAGCATTAGATTGCGTGGCTTTCTTAGGATATTTTTTTCAGGAGTGCCTTCCTTTTTCGAGGATTTGGGAATTATGTTGTACCTGTCTTTCAAGGGTCTCCAGCAGTGGTATATTCAATCGTCTTTTCTATCTTACTTCTTTAACTTTCCTCTCTGTTCCGAACCCTTTTTCTGTTTATCTCATCTCGAAATTGGAAGGTGGCACAGGATGAACATTTTCCGGATACGACTTAGGGGCACCACCATCACAGATTGGTCATGTGCGGAAGTTGGGATTGCAGCTGTTGGGTTGCAGTGACTCCACTCAAATTCGTTTGGTGAGGGGGCGGCTTTGCCGGAAAAAACTCCCTGTGTAGGGGGGAGGGTGGGGGAGAGGGGAGGGGGGGAGGGGAGGGGGTGGGATGGGAAGGGGGGGGGACCGAATCACGCGCCTGGTCCAGGTCTGTTCGAGCCGCGGACCCTGGCAAGGCGAGTCTGATGAGCCCCACGGTGCCCTCGGTGCATAAAGTGTTTCAGAGTCCAGGGTCTGGGTCTAGGGGTCCGCGGTACCCTGGTGTTTTTTTCAAACGTCCTCTTATGAAGCAGCAAACCCAGAACGGGTACTCTTGTTTTTAGTTTGGTTACCGGGCGACCAAGCAAAGCGTATCTGAGTAGCTCTCTACACTGGGATCCCTTTTTGAAATTGGATCCCCCACTATAGCTCGGCAGCCTTCAATACGGCCTTCTAAAAGGGACCCCAATGTAGAGAGCCTCCCATCTGAGGACCCAAGATTGAAGGCCCATATTTCAACTTCAAACCCTAGATGAGAACGAAGGATGGTCTATTCCTTGACCAACCCAGAGACCCCAATACCCCTGACTGAATGAATATTGCCTTTAGAGAATGCGGATCCCTGTTCGATGATTCAATAGACCCTAAACCCCGAGCCCCAAAAAAATCACTTCATGGAGGGTTATTGAATACGGCTTCGGGTTTCGGCCCTGAAGCTCTACAACATACACACATATACACACACACACACACACAAACAAACCCTCAAGCCTACCCTGCTAAGGCTGATGAACTGAATCGTCTTGCGAGCCACCTACTGGCCGGCGAGGAGCGAAATCTCCCAACTCCTCAAATTGGTTGCTGTTGAAGGGTGCAAGAGCCTAGGAGTCCACCACCCTGAATTAAGGAGTGTATTCCGTGCCGCACAGTATGCTTAGAGTTTGAAGTTCAGGTGCGCCTTCTTCACAACTGGGCTTTAGGGGTTTCAGTCCCGAACGGGGTATTGGGCCGTCTGGGCTGGCTCACCCCAAAACGCTTCCAAAATCAGGGCCCAAGAAGGGGGGGGGGATGTGCTTGCTCAGGCAGGACTGGCCATGAGCCTGGTGATTTCTCTGCTGCAGAAGAGTGTCCAAGGCCGGCTGCACATCTTGGTCGCTCAGTGGTGCCCTTTACAGGGTTTAGGGTTTAGGGTTTAGGGTTTAGGGTTTAGCGTTTAGGGTTTAGGGTTTAGGGTTTAGGGTTTAGGGTTTAGGGTGTTCTGGGTTCCCGTCTTAAGTAACGAACCAAAAAAGGGGCACTCTTAACCCTCAACCCTAAACCCTAAACCCCTGGGTTCCCTCCCAAAGCGACGACCCAAAAAAGGGTATCCTAAACCCTAAACCCTAAAACCCTAAACTCTAAACCCTAAACCCTAAAGTTGCTGGGCTACTAAGCCGTCCATCCAAGCCTGGGTATGGAGAAGGTGTGCTCTGAGGCTGTGGAGCCCGAGCCCATACTGTCATACTTGGAGGTTCATGTGCAGTTGTAAGTAGGCCTAAATAGGGCTTAGGGTTTAGCGTTTGGGGTCTAGGGTTTAGGGTTGTAAGTGCCCTAAATAGGGTTGAAAGTATACCTACCATACTTGTAATTCTACTTCTAACTACCCATGAACCTCCAAGAGCCTCAAGAAGGCTTCCCCGCAAAGCGTCCCAACCCTCAACGCTAGATCTCCCAATATGCCCCTCTTCCCTTTGGGGCTTTGGGGCTTGGGGAGGAGGGGTCGTAGATTCCCTACATTGCAGGGATTCGGGTTTAGGGTTTACGGTCTAGGATTGGGTTTAGGGGTACACAAAATTCCACATTGAAAGACCCAAAATGCCCTCAAGGGTGCCCCCAAGGACCCTAAGCCCGGAGTCCGAAACT